TGACATCAAAGTGGGTTTTCATGAAAACAATTCCATACTGTAATAACTTTATTACTAATAAATTTTGTTGATAATTACAAAACATCACAATTAAAAAAAGGCAGTTAAGCAAAAATAAAATGCAGTACCAGACATTAACTCCTTTTCATTTTCTAATTTTAGCTGACTTAAAGAAGATGTTCAAGAAAATTGAAAACAGTAAAACAGAAGAAGAAAGAAATGTGAACATAGACCCTCTGCAGGAGTTGATAACACTAGTGCAGTTTGCCAATGATGAGTGTGATTATGGGGAGGGCTTAGAACTGGGACTAGATCTGTTCACCTATGGGGGTGGAGACACATTTAAAGGCTTCATATTGGCCCTACTACCCATGGCGTACCAGTTTCTACAAAGACCAGAGTTTGCACAGATAATACAGGCTCACTTAGAGGACAGAAAACACTCTGCAAAACTCAGTCAGATGCAATAGAACTTGTCTAACAACTACAGATCTGCACAAATAGTTTCATTTTTGCATTTTCATAAATCCAGGAATTCCAGTTAATGCAGATTCCCTGCAGTCTTGATGATTAATTCCCTTCTTCTCCAGGTGCTATTCAAGAGTTGTTCAGTAATTCAGTAAACAAAGTCATTATGCATGGTGAGGTACGTCATGTACCATGCTGGTATTCCTGAACATCTGTCTTCTACCATAGAACATATTTTATAAATAAAACACATCATTTGAACAACACGCTGTAAGTTATGGATGATAAAGCAGTGCTGCAGTAAGCAGTGGGCAAATATAGTTTTACTATACATCTTGGGTGAATACTCCTGAAATGATATCAGTGTATTTGCAAAACGTAAAAATAAAAATGTAGTGAAAGATAATGTTGCATGATACTTGTCAATGTGCATTAGACTTGATAAACGTCAAGAGCGGAAAACGGATTTCTCTGGGTTTAACTGGAAAATAGGATTTATGTACCGCTCGTAGTGAAAAAGGCCTTTGGGAACTTTACTTACGAAACTTTACCGGGGAGTACACCAGTCAATCGTAACGGTTTCTAGCATTTTTATAAACTCTGTGACCTAAAATTATATAACACAATAGATAGACCTCTGTTTAAATATGAAGAAATTTTTATGCAACCAGTATTTGTATCATAAAAACAGCAAGACGTTTTCAATGTAGCATTGAAATCTTTTCAAAACACTAAAACATTCATTAGAATACTGAAACGATCAAAACACACATATACTGCTACTTTTTGTTCCACAAACTGCTAGTTTTTGTTCCTCTGAAATTAGGAAGGTTTGCCGCAATCTAGTTTCAGATTGTAATGGAGATGCGCTGACTCCTGTGGCGCTGCTGCCTTCGCAACTTTGCCGTGATTAAAAACATCTGTTCTTGTAAATCTTTCTCCGGTCTTACTACTAGTAGTACTGCATACTGTTACCGGCAGTGCTGCAGATCTTCCGCAATACGTCGTCAGTCTTGTGATCGGCAGCATGGGCTATGTATTTGATGTTAAACGTACCGGTGACGTCACGCCATGAGCGCTACCCTCTGCCGCAACATTAGTGCCAACATAAGTAACCGATCTGATCGCCGATATGACGTAGTCTACGCTTTTTTTAATGGCGTTTTTTTCCTCCTGGCGATTCATATGCTGATAGAGTTTGGTACGTGATCCGGCTGCAGATAAAGGTAAGATGGAAAACGACTCTTGTTCCTCTCCTTGATCTTTTCGCTCAATTCAGACAGCTCTTGTCGTAATCTGAAAAGGAAAAAAGTGCGGTTTAGTTACCGGATAACAAATTAGGAAATAGAACAAGCAACATCTATTGGCAGGGCAGAAGTGTGCGTGAAAAACGCACAGGTATGCACCAGTTAGCTACCATCAGTTTAATGAACTCTTCAACGCAAACCTTCTCTTGTGTAAATTTTGCTCCCAGACAGAAAAACAACACTTTTTACCAATAAATAACCCCTCCCTCGAGAATCAGAATGTTACCCTAAAACTACAATTAAACATACACCGTAGACCATGGGTTTTTCACAGTCATTGTGAAAAGATTAAATCAGATCGAACTTGTTTGAAGCGATAGTGAGGTTTATAAAACCCTACATGTCAATAAGTCTAAGTCTGTGTTTACACCATGACTAAGAAAAAAGACTAAATGACGTCACACTGCTCCACAGAATTGAAAAGTCTCGTCACAATTGGATGCCCGTGTTTCTGATGTCTGGTGGCGTCAATTAGTCTATTTCTAGTATAATTTAGTCCTGATGTAAACACGTCCTTAGTCTTACGTCTGTGCAGCCTTGACAGAGACAGGGTCGTGCAGGTACTGGATGTCAAAATCCCCCAGACTGTTAGTTCCCTTGTCACTAAGAAGTTTGGTGACCACCATAATGTCCAAGGTATGAGACTTGGTAGGCAGCGTCTTCACAATGTTCTCCTCCGACATAGGAACCTTCAGAGAAGACACCAATACTAAGATAAACCGCCATGACAAGTTGATTTAGTGACGATGAAAAGTTATCGTCTATGGAATTAAAGATATTGCTAAAAGTGACCACTCGAATTTGAGTATCACGTATGAAATATCGAAAATCAAAAGTGTTTTGTCAAGTAACATATTAACTACTAGTATTCAAAAAGAGCCAATATCCAGTTAAGAACCATCATCTAAAGATGCCATCTAATATTTTTGGACGTCTTACATTACCTTATCCGTGGGCGGCTGCCCTTTAATATAAGCTGGGTAGTTCGGAGGAAAGGCGTAGTCAGTGTACTGGGGGAAGTTGGACGCCGCGTGAGATACGCTGCACGTGAAGATAATTGACGTACATGTCAGGATTAGTTCGTCATTATTTTCAAATGTCACGCTCCCTGGTATGCCCTGAAACGAACACTCACTTTAAAACTGAACAGCGTAGAAATTTGAAGAAAGAAAAATAAGATCATACATTTTAGCAAGTGACAAGTCTGGGCATTTTTATTTGTAATGGTATTCGACAGGAATACAGGGGCGGATCCAGAGATATTTTCTGACAGTCTTCCAAATTATCTTTGTTGATCCATCTTCCATTTCTGACCGTCTTCCGACAGAAAACATTAGATGGCTGCCAATGTAAACTTGAAAATCTGACCGTCTTCCAGAAGACCCAGAAGACGGCCTAAATCCGCCCCTGGAATAAGATAACAAGAGATAAAAATGGCCATTTTCCGATACACGAGTATAAATCTCAGAGCCTAGCGTCTGAAGTTTAGAATTCAAATGCATTGGTGACGTCATCAAACCTGGCCAAGATGACGTCAGCACAGATTTCTCACCTGTATCCCCACGCCTCCTTTCTCTCGCTCCGTTTCCAATTCGTGTCTCCAATTTTGCAATTCGTAGTCTTCTGTGAGTTTCTTGCGGTTATCTTAATTTAGAAAGAAAGAGGATTTTGAAAATGTTTTTACCACAAATTCTAAAAATTTTTTATGCGGGAAAAATCTTACCAAAAATGGTTGTGATTCAAAATTATGTAAGTATAATGCACGTTATATTGTTATGTTAAACTTAATAGTATTCCTTTTCATCAATGTTGCATATAAGAATTTTAGAAGGTCAAATTTGACCAAAGAAACACTCAAAAAGGAGAAATAGGAGAGTGAGAACGTTTTACCTACCATAAAAATGGTTGATAATTTGGCTGACATATTTCTTAATGCTATAGTACAGCGGCAAGGCGTCCTCACGGTAGTGGTAGTTAGGTAGAACGGTTGTATCCAATAACTGCAAAGTAAACACATATAATTGTAAAAAATTGTTCATTTTAACATATTTTTATAATATCATTTATCAACTATGAATTAGGCTTTTTCTTTATCAGTGTCTTAGTACTACATTCTGATTACTTCACTTACACCGCGAGACTCCAAATACTTCGGCAAGGTTCCGTGGACGTCCAATCGCCATTCTTGTATCCTGTGAAATATCAAATTAATAATTACATATGTGAACCATAAATGAATAATTAATTAAAGCGTCTCTTTTAACACTGTTGATCGAAAATAATCTTAAGGTTGTGGTCATATTCGCAACGAAATAATGCTAATGCAAAAGGTAAGGGACATTTTACACCTCTTTGAGGAACTACCATTTCTCTTTTCGTAACTTTATCATGTATGTGAGACACGAATGTTATCTATTAAAAAGACATAAAGAGTATTAGACATGAAAACATAACTGTAACAGTCCCCTTGATGTACCATTCCTCATGTACATGATTTGTATGCAATTAAGTCCCGTTTTTCCTCTATTAATGACTGGATTACTTTTAACTACGAACCCATTTTTGTAGACTCCACACAAGGATTCCATCTTAACCCACTCTCTTTCATTTATACACCTTAAAAAACCCTCTAGTCTTCACTTTATACCTGCTCCCCCCCCCC